GAGGCCCATGATAATAGCGGCGAGGACAGCATGCAGGTTTGATAACATGCTGAGTAGTGTAATAGGAATTTCTGCTGCGTGCTGGAGTTGCTATCGTCGATAGCAACGTCGCCGGCTTTTCCGAAGGACCAAGAAGCAGCCTGTCCAGTTGGCCGGTTTTCTCGTGCACACATCCTTGGCTGCACACTGTAAAACCTTCCTTGTGCATCGGTGCTCGTTGCGTTAATAGTGCTAATGGTGTGTTTCAGTGTTTTGTGGAGGTCTTTCGGGCTGGCACCGCATCTGAGAGGTCGGTCTAGTCCTTTCTGTCTGAACCCAGTCGCCGCTGGCCTTGCCTGCCTTGTGCGAGTTGCGAAAGTCACAACAAAATTCCTTGCTATGTCTATGTGCAGGAATTCCAACTAATACCCTAATTGCCTCCCTGGATGTGGCTTAGTGCAGAGGGTGCTGCGACTTCGACACAGTCGTCGCGGAGAGCACAGCGTCTTTCTATTTGTCAGGAGTTCGGCCCAAGTGCTACCATGTGCTACTGCTACCATGCCGTACAGCTGACCTTCGGAGGCGTCTGGGCCGAGATCCACCGGAGCGCCGGGCTGCAGCCGCTGCCTTGTCGCCAGCATTGGCGGAGCGCGGGAATGCAATCGAGATCTGAAGAGGTATGACAGGATTCGCCAAGGTTCTGTTGGGGACCCTTTAAGTTCAGATAGCGGAGGCATTCGCAAGCATCTCGCACTCGCAGGGCGCAACCATTTCCTAGTCAGTTTCAAGCGAGCCCCCTTTCGGAACTGCCAGCCGTCAGACGATCGAAATTCGGAACAGGAGCAGATGTCCGTGCGCTTCGATCGTGGCGACTCTCTGAGCATACCGCTGCAGGTGGTCGGATGGGCTCCGACAAGAGATAAACAGCATGATGCACAGGCAAACAGTCTTCACGGAACTGCACGACAGGTGCTTGAAACTGCCTGCGTGCTGTACTGTCCTCATGTCCGCTAGATACCAACGAGAAAGCTAGCCCAAACAGACCACCACTGGCAGCAACAAAAACCTTATCGTGATTATCCAGCTGTCGCTGCCGCACGCGCAGGCCCTGGCAGCTGCGGCCGCGAGCCTTTCGCCATTCCTTCCAGTCGAGGTTGTGTGGTCAAAAGTGCTTGCTTTCTCACTCGCTGTCACTAGAGTTTCCGCCCATGTTTTACAATATGTGCGTTGGCTGCTCTGTGCCTCTGCCTCTTCGCCGGCTGTCTGAGATGCTCTGTCTGTTTAATGGCTGTCTACTTTAAACACAATTCAATGTCACCTTGCTAATGAAGGCTTCCAGGTAGCTGAGGTGATTCTTGTGACGCTGGGGGAGAAGCCACCAAGCCGAAGAAACATTCGGGATACTGTGTGACAGCAAAGCAGGGGATTTTTAATCACTGTGTGGTCTGAGTCACAGGCATTCGCGCCCTTGCTGTCCTCTTTGCTCTCCCCGCTCGCTGCCTCGGCGCCCGTAGCCTTCGTGGCATTGGCAGCCTCGCTCGCACTGTCTGCCAGGCCGTGGATGCAGTGAACTGAAAGCGCCGAAGCACCTTTCGGGTGGGGGATGTGTAACGTACTCTGCCGAACTCCACTACCAACAGTATCCCCCCCCTTTATCTATAGGAAAACTGGGGGGGGGGTCACCCTTAGAATTTCCTATTTCCTATTTGTTTTTTCCTATTGTTTTGGGCTGGGGGGGGGGAAGAGGAAATTGGAAATTCAGCAGACATGGAATAGGAAAACAATGTCGTATCCATATGTCGTATGTCGTTTGAATCATTCCTTGGCTTTTGGTTCATCGAGAGAAGAGAGAGAGAGAGAGAGAGAGAGAGAGAGAGACAGGGAGAGAGATAGAGAGACAGAGGAGGTCGCCAGGGAAGAAAGCGCGCGAGAGAGAGAGAGAGAGAGAGAGAGATATGGAGAGAGAGAGAGAGAGAGAAAAAAAACGAGAAGTACCCGGAGATGCTGGAGCAGGACCTTCGAACCTTGAAGCCCGGACGTCAGCGGCTTGGGTTTTTTTTCGGTGTTCAGGCTTTAAGCGATGGGCACTGTGAAAGGGCCCATCGCTAGGATAGGATAGGACTAGGGTCTAGTAGCTCGTTGTGGGCACTGTGAGAGGGCCCACAACGAGGCGCACGGGCACTGTGAAAGGGCCCGTGTGCTAAACTAAGGCAACTGTTTGGGATTAGAGTTTTTTTCTGCAGGTTGATGTTGTGCGTGAGGGTTCAATGCTAACAGATCGGCTGATGGGCACTGTGACAGGGCCCGTCAGCACAAATAGTGATGCATAAGCGAGGGGCACCACGACAGAGGTCATGTGCTAGAGTCGGACTTTGTTGTGATCAGTCAGGAGCATGTGATAAAGCAGGCAGGATGGGCACTGTGAGAGGCCCCATCCACTCGGGAAGGATCATCCGAACAAAAATAGGGGACGATGGGCACTGTGATAGGGCCCATCGCCGAACGTCGGGATTCCTATGCTTAACCCCTTGAATCCCGGGATTGGTGTATTAAGTAATAGGCAATGTTTTGTGTGCGATTTAGAGGCTAACCTCCGAAAACCCCTAAACCCTTCCCGCCCAGGCTCCAGATGCAGATCAGCCGCATGGGCAGCACGTCGGCGCTTGCGAGGGGTTTAGGGGTTTTCCGGGGCTCAGACCTTAGGCGGTGGGCACTGTGAGAGGGCCCATCCGCTTAAGTAGGTTCGTTCGGGGATCATTCGAACTATGAGTAGAACGATGGGCACTGTGATAGGGCCCGTCGAATATAGGCTCAGGATCATTCGGGTAGCATCAAATTTCGAACGATGGGTGGGCACTGTGATAGGGCCCATCAACTAAGGTCGGGATCATTCGATTATCTTCTGCCAGAATTGGGAACGATGGGCACATCATTGGAAGGTTAGCAGCTTCAAGTTCCCGGGGCTCTGGGTGAAGCGATGGGCACTGTGAGAGGGCCCGTTGCCCGAACACCCCTAAACCCTTCCCGCCCAGGCTCCAGATGCAGATCAGCCGCAGGGTTTGCCGGGGCTCAGACCTTAGGCGATGGGCACTGTGAGAGGGCCCATCCGCTTAAGTAGGTTCGTTCGGGGATCATTCGAACTATGAGTAGAGCGATGGGCACTGTGATAGGGCCGTCGAATATAGTCTCGGGATCATTCGGGTAGCATCAAATTTCGAACGATGGGTGGGCACTGTGATAGGGCCCATCAACTATAGAATTTGGGAACGATGGGCACATCATTGGAAGGTTAGCAGCTTCAAGGTTTCCCGGGGCTCTGGGTGAAGCGATGGGCACTGTGAGAGGGCCCGTTGCCGATACATTCAGGATTGGACGCACAGAGGCCGATGCCATAGGCGAAGGTTCAACATCAAGTGATGGGCACTGTGAGAGGGCTGAGGCCTAGCCCTTGTTGAATCGGACCATTGTGTATAGTTAGCCATCTCCTGGTACAGGACATAGGGCCTGCAGATGCTCCTGCTCCTCTTCAGGATCCTCCGACTGCTCGGCACCCATAATGATTAATTAGACGTCTGCAAAAAACAATTGCAACCTTGGACTTCTGCTGAGGCCACCGATCCCACTGCCGAGAACCTCGACAGGCTTCGTCTTTTGGCTGCTGTTGCTGAAGAGCACATCAAGGACCGATCGCGATGCATTGCTGGAATACAGCCTTAGACGTAGCCATCCTCTGCCGCAGGAGCCACAGCCTTCAGGTGCCCCTGCTGCTTGGCACTCGTCATGCTTCAGCGATTTCGGTAACTGCTCGATCTGCTGACTCGGACTCCTGCTGAGGCTAGCGATCCCAGTGCCGAGGACAAGTCCAACAACACCCAGGACATCCAGGACCGATCCCGATGCGAGTCTGAAGAGCCCTAATTGGTTGTGGGAAATCCGCTGGACTTGTCGTGTTTGGGAGGGATTTAGGTGGACTTTTAAAGCTGACATGTGTAACTTACATAGCATGCATTACAGAGCCGATATTGTAAAAAACGTAGGGGGGTAGGTGGCCTACGTACTGCGTGGGCCAGAGCAGGAGGTGGGTCCCCCCTCCTTTTTTTCCTAAATCCGGGGTTTTGGCGGCTGGGGCACGTGGTACGACTGCTACTCTTAGTCTAGGGAATCCCAGTTTGCTCGGGTGTTACGTAGAGTACCCATATAGCCTGCATTACATAGAGTATGTACTGTACAGGCCAGATATTGTAAAAAACATAGGGGGGTAGGTGGCCTACGTACTGCGTGGGCCAGAGCAGGAGGTGGGTCCCCCCTCCTTTTTTTCCTAAATCCGGGGTTTTGGCGGCTGGGGCACGTGGTACGACTGCTACTCTTAGTCTAGGGAATCCCAGTTTGCTCGGGTGTTACGTAGAGTACCCATATAGCCTGCATTACATAGAGTATGTACTGTACAGGCCAGATATTGTAAAAAACATAGGGGGGTAGGTGGCCTACGTACTGCGTGGGCCAGAGCAGGAGGTGGGTCCCCCCTCCTTTTTTTCCTAAATCCGGGGTTTTGGCGGCTTGGGGCACGTGGTACGACTGCTACTCTGAGTCTAGGGAATCCCAGTATTGCTCGGGTGTTGCGTAGAGTACCCATATAGCCTGCACTACATAGAGTATGTACTGTACAGGCCAGATATTGTAAGTAAGAAACGTAGGGGGGCAGGTGGCCTACGTACTGCGTGGGCCAGAGCAGGAGGTGGGTCCCCCCTCCTTTTTTTCCTAATTCCAGGGGTCCTGGCGGGGTTTTCCAAGGCTCAGACCTCAGGGGATGGGCACTGTGAGGGGGCCCATCACTGTGCCCCTTTCCCGAGCCGTGAACTGTGGGAGGATGCAGCCGCGACTGCGGCACTTGCTTCTGTGGTCGAGATGGTCGAGGCTGGATCCTGGCCAGGCATAGTTTGTCCAGTCTGCATCAGTCACACGGAGCATCTCCAGCCGCTGTGAATCAAGTGTTGGATCCGCCTTTGCATTTCCCCCGCGCCATGGCAAGCATCAGATGTCCGCTGTGCAGTGAAGATCGGTGCGGGAGAGTGTGGTGGAAGCCGTCCCAGTACAAGGCAGGCAAAGCAATGGTGCCGGGGTTTTGCAACTGTTGCAGGTCCTGCAACGAGGATTGTTTCATTCCACGCAAAAGCCTGTGTGAGGGACTCTTTCACGCATTGCGACTTTCATGGGTTGAGATCGTGGAGACAAGCGAGCTTGTTGCTGCATGGACCGCGTACATGCAAAAGCCGACAAGAGTCGGGCACCACACATGGTACCACAAACCTGGCCAAGTGGACCTGGGGGTCGGCCGAGACATTTGCCATTGGGGTATCGTCCTGCTTGTCGGCGCGCAGAAAGTGCACGAGCACTTCTCCAACACCGACACAGTGCACCAGGGTGTCGAAGGTTTCCTCTACTGGCTCTCCGTTCATAAGAATCCTGATGCTGTCAAGGTGTTGCACATGGTGCAGCATTTCTTAAAAGACTTGCATGAGCTTTCCATGGAGCTTCCGGTCACAGCGGGACATCACGTCACCTGGGAGGACTTGTCATCGTCCTCCACTCGGGTCTTGCATTGCACGGAGTTCTCAGAGAAGGAGGGCGGCTGGTTCGAGACATCTTGTGCCTCTCAGCCATTGGTGATCGAGGCGGAAGATGTGCTGGGGGAGCTCGCAATTTCGAGGCAGGCGATCAGTGCAAGCAGGCTACGCATCCTTTTGACACCGGCATCCTTGGCAGCCTGGCAGTACATTGTACATGAGGACTTCGGCTTTCCGCATTCCCAAGGTAGCGGAGGCCAAGGTCAAGGCATCCTGAAGTACCCTGTGATAAAGAAAACCACGGGTGACGATTCGCAGAGCTTTCGTGGTCCTTCATGGAGTGGAATCGTCACTGGGGTCTTAGTGGTTTAGGGGGGCTTCGTGACTGGAGCAAAGCTCCAACACACGATCGGGGCTTTCGGGGCTGATGCGACACCGGGTGCCAACACAGCATGCTAGCTTGAAGACGGCCAAGTTTCCAGCCACATATGTTGACCTGTCCTGGTGTCGCTTGTGCCCTCCTGGCTAGAGTTGCGAATCACGCACTCGGACGAGGGGCACAAAAAAAAGTCGCATATGCAGTGCTTGCAGTGCTCTGTTTCCTGCTCTTGATTTGCTCATGCCGGCATGTTCCATGCCCCGAGATTTCATCCGGAAGGGTATGGCTTGACCACGGTGGCGGGGTGCTCATTACTCTTGCTGCTCTTGACATTTTCCTGTCGGCAAGTCACTTTCCGTGCCCCGAGGTTTCGTGGATGTGACTTTACCATGGTGCTAGCCGCTAGCCCCGGAGTGACACGTCTCTTGCACCAAGAAGCCGATGTCTGGTTCTGTCGAGGTTGGGCTCTACTCGACTCGGACATGCACATCCCAGCGAAAGGGAGACAGCGAGAGAGAGAGAGAGAGAGAGAGAGAGAGAGAGAAAGAGAGAGAGAGAGAGAGAGAGAGCGAGAGAGGAGAGAGAGAGAGAGAGAGAGAGAGCGAGAGCGAGAGCGAGAGCGAGAGCGAGAGCGAGAGCGAGAGCGAGAGCGAGAGCGAGAGCGGGAGCGGGAGCGGGAGCGTGAACGAGAACGGGAACGGGAACGGGACGGGTGCGACAGGGACAGGAAGAAGGAGAGAGGGAGATTTCGCGACATCTCTGAGCACACTTGTCCAAGCTGTCCATCCCCATCAACGTCGCTGCTGATTTTCAGCCGCTCTTAGACACAGGGTCCCTAACCCCCCAACACACACCCCCCATGCCAGGAAAAAAACGCGGTCAGGAAAATTTTCTTTTCCCGACCCCCCCCCACCCCCCCCCCCGAGATAAACAGGGGGGATCAACAGTAGATCTTGCAGAAGTTGGGGCTGCGTATGGCGACATCTTGGTTGCGGCATGAGTCAAGCAACCACGCAACGATACAGAACATGTTCCAGGAAGAAGTGCGATCTGGACTTGGGCCAGATGGTCCCGCGGCTGCTGAGTCTGGCCCCCTTGGAGCCGCCACAGGCTCCAACAAGGATAGACCTTCGGGCTTGTGCGGTTGCCTCACACGTCTCCTCCCTTACAGCACAGAGAAGCCTAAGTCCACATCGTTGTGTTGATTTCGTTGTCGCGATTCTGCTGCCAAGCTTAGCGTCACTCGGAAAGGTCACAGAGGGTAGTCGACAATGTGAAACTACCTGAGTCCTGCGTCGCAGCACCTACAGAGCACAAGGTCAAGGTGAGTGGAACAGTCCAACTAGTTTAGGTTATGTGTCCTTCTCCGTACTGGTACATTCTATGCCCGAGTCATCCCGAGTCATTGCCAGTGCTACATGCACCTCGCAGGGAACCTTGGTTCCAGTCCCTGAGACGCTATTTGGGAGTTGTTAGCATGTTGTTACAGTAGCGAGGGCCGGCTTACTTTTGTGAAGTCTCGGGACTTGTCACCCTCGATGCAGGTAGACGATGAGGGTTGTGCAAAGACGCAGTTTACAGGCCAAAGATATAGCGAGGCTGCAAAACGAAGACGGGGCAAGTTGCTCGACGCTGGCTTCATGTGGGGAACATGATGGAAATGGAACCAGACGAACATCGAGTCTTGATGTTTCTACGCAGAAGGCCTGATGCCTGCGGAGCTGGGAATCCTGCAAAAATGGGCGGCAGTATGCAGCAGTGCATCAGCACAGCGACTTCTCTCTTTGGAACCCGGCGTATCCAAGCACACCCTTGGCCGTCGTTCTTCTAGATGAACAGAAATGGAGTCTACATGCGGACAGAGCTTCTGCTATCGGCTGTCAGGGGAGCGTCTTCTCGAGCGGTGCAGCCGCACTGCTGGCGCTGTGCTCCCACAGTGCTGCCATCACCTCGCTGTGCCGGTCTGGGGCTTGGGTGGGATGCTTCGGCAGGCAGCTTCCGACATCTGCTTGCACACGAGCTGTAGGTTGCCTTGCTAGGCCCAGGTTTTGAGCCTTTGACTAAGGCAGCTGAGATGCCAGGACTAAGCCTCGCCGTAAAGCAGTAATCCTCTTGGCTGTTCAACTCCCGGCAGCCAGGCCTTGGGTCTTCAGCACGGCCTCGGCAACTCGGCTTGAGTGAGTTTTGGGATAGTTTGTAGGGTTGCGAAGGATACGCAGGACGTAGGTTCGTGGATGTGCATGACTTGTCTGGGATGCAATGGAACAGGTGGGCCTTTCAAACTAACTTGGCTCTACACTGTCAAATTCCAGGCATAGGCTGCCTACCCTTCTGAGCACCGCGCATGCTCAAGTCCTTCGTCAACTGGGTCAAGCTCGATGTCGACTCAATAACGAGTTTTGGCCCCAGAGGCCTTGCTGCAGAGCGCTCTGCGCGCCGGAGCCGGCGGCCTCGGTGCAGTTCGAGCCGCGATTCCGCTGGCAGCTGCAGTGCCCCACCATGACGACGACGATTGTGTGGGGTGGTGATGTCGATCGAAGAAAGCACAAGAAAACAGGCATGAACCGGTGTGATCGTTCGCTGTCTGCTTAGTGAGTGTCTGAGGGGCGAGCGATCGGAGTTCATGCACACAATACAGATCAATAGGTTTTTCTAATGTCTACTTGCATACACACTTACATGGATGCATGCATATGCATGCGTACATACATGCATACCCTGATACCTACATACATAAACACATATACACACATAATATGTGTATGTGTATATTATGCCGGGCGGGCCTTCTTATACATATACTCTATGCATATGCAGACACACATACACATACATATCTTACATATCCATATACATGCCGACATACATACATACATACATACATGCGTTAGATGCGAGGTTTCTTAGATGGGTGTAACATACAACGACAGCAACGAGGCCTGCTTTGACAGAACAAACGTTTGAGGTACAAGTGGGTGAAGACGACACTTCGCCTAGCTCCGATTGGCACTGGGAAGTCGAGGAAAACCTTTGCATGCAGAGGACGCTTGGGGCATGGCCGCGATCGGTCTGACAGAACATGTTTCTGCCTGATGTCTCTGCCCCGTTTGGACAGGACCTTCCGCGGCACCTGGCGCAGCCGCGCTATCTCCATGTCGTCCACAGCAGGTTCGGGTGCCTTTTTTGCCGACCGCGCCGAGGCGGGAGAGAGTGGCTTGAGAAGTCTAGGTTTGGGGAGTTTGCAGAAGATTCTACTTTCAGGCGGCGTCTCCTCAGCCCGCTCTGCGCTGCCAGCGCCTGCATGGTCTGGCTCAGCTGTTCCGCCCCTTGCAATGGACACGCGTAGGGACTGGGCGGGCCGGTTGCTGGGGTGTTTGCAAAATGTTGCAAAGCTCGGGTTGGGCCTGCTGAGCCCGCTAAGCCGCTAAGCTCGGGATGGAAAATGCATGCGAGGTTCTTGATTGTCTGGCCTCGTCTAGATTGCATGGCAAAGTCTGCTGTTACAGTGACTCCAAGGACTGTCGCACCTCCCTGAGTCACCAAATGCGGCGTTGAAGCTCGGACCGCATTGGTTTTGTTGGTCTCAACGCGCGCAACGACGGTACGAGAAGTGCCGATCGGTGGAGGGCTTTGGGCATCTTTGCTTCCGGGCTTCCCACCCAGACACTCGAAAGACTTCCGAGGTTCCAGGAGCGGCCACAGCTCCGGATCGAGGTCAGCGACGAGCGGATGGAGCTTTTCGTGTCCCTCGGCCTTAACCGGGCCAATGTAGACACATAAGAACCAAAATCCACATAGTACTGTGGACTATGTGGAGCCTTGCCTGCCTTGTGCGAGTGTGAGCGTCGAAGAACCCAAATCAGGCAACAGCAGGCCGACTGAAAAAAAAAGCGGACAGTTGCTAGACCGGAAACTGGGCATTGCTTGCTTCTGGTGTCAAGACTAGGAACAGTTCAGGTCTCTTTCGCTGTTCCCGGTGACCCGGTGCCAGATGCCGTGCTATGCTGTCGACGTTTCTTGGACCTAGAACGAGTCTCGCTCTTTCCGGGCGCTATGTGCCGATTCCATTCAAGCACATTCCTGGACCTTGGGTTGTTGTCTTCATGTGGAGGCACAATCGCCGAAGCCTCCATGGTCAACGCTCAGATGTTCTCAGGAATCGGCCCCTGGAACACTGGGCCTGTGGATTTGCGAGCTGCCAGCTGCGGCAAGCGAGGCCAGAAAGAGGCGCGGTCTTTGGTGTGTTGGCTGGTCGTCGTTTCTGGAGTCGACCTGTGGGCTACGAAAGGGGCACAACATCGGGTTCAATGTCTCGGAGACAAATTACAGTTAGACATAGTTGGACCTGTGAATCTGAGGAGTCACCAGCTCGATCTGCGACCACCGGTGCACCCTGGCTTTACGAAGCAATGGGTTTGTATGGATGACATATTTCGATAGGGCGTGCGCACCTCCCCGGATCCTGTGCTTTGGGAACAGACGCTCTGATGTGCTCTCAGGCATGTGTCCGCATCTTCGCCGGGCTGCAAGGCCGGGCCGAGCTCCGCGAGCCAAGCTCAAGCAGTTGCGAGATGGCAGTCCACTCACTGCGGCAAGGAACACCTCGTCTCAGTGGCGCTGCCACGAGGCCATTGCAGTGCAGCATTCTTCAGATTTGCCTTTCTTCCGATGACACGATGTATACCTGCATGGAATGAACAGCTTTACAAACAGACCAACAAACCCAGAACTGTTTCAGATCCACCACCACACAGGTCTTTACACCCTCATCCCCTTCAGCTCGCATGTCGTTCTTGATCGGATGCCCGGTTGCATTCAATCCGAAGCTAAGCGCGCCTCGGGATCCAGATCGCTGACATGCTCAACTTCGCACACTTCCGTTGTAGCTGTTCCATGCGGAAAGTCTGAAGTTTGATCGATATCCACCACTGCTTTACTGCATGACTGCTACATGATGAGAAGTTCTAAACCGCCCAATCACCTCACTTCGTGTGCATGCTTGTTTGTAAAGGGTTCGTCTTCCTCCCTCTCGGTAATATCTCACCGAGTCTCACCCGTTGTTCTTGCTGCGACATGGCCCCTTGTGCAGAGCAAGTTGGCATGTGGCAGAGCTTTTACAAGCCCAGCCGACTCTTCAGTTCGAGGAACTGATTTGGATTGTTGGAGCAGTCGGAATTTTGCAGTTCGTATCAAGTTATCAAGGGTGTCATGATTTTTCTTTCGCATGTTCCAAGCTTCTGTTGCAGGGTTCACGGTTGACAAGCCGTGGATAGTCTCTCGTTCCACGGCTGCTCCCGGGACACGCCAATGGGCGTGGACTGGATTCTCTGCGACAGCAGCTACTCCCACGTTGTCAACCTAACTGAACGCTGCTGAAATGAAGGATTTTATTAAAACATATAAGTCAATTTCGAGATGTTGCCGGCGGCGGTGACCGGTGCATTCCATGTTTCATTTCGTATCAGAGCGGTTCCAATCCCGAACTGCAATAATCGCTGTAGCCTCTCAACTCTGATCCCCCATGTTGAAGAAAATCAAGTTGCGACATGGCACGGATTTACCCACTCTCGCACAAAGTACGTTGTCAAAAGCGCGCGCACATGTCAACTTTGTGTAGGATAGATTTTCAGTTCTATTGGTGTAGGATTGGTTTTCAGAGACAAAAGGATTGAGACCATGTGCTTTGATCCGATTTCCTGAGCGAAGAGCGCTTTCGCATGCCATCTCACCGAAGCAGTCAGCCTCAACACTTCGAAAACTGTTCAATGCTCCATGTGGCGCGCAACTGATTACCAGCAACTAGTGCCTGACCAGTCAAAGTACTTCGACCCGAGACGTCGTCTGGCAAGTCCGAGTTGCGAGAGCGTAGCGCTTCGACAACTATCACTTCGTTTCCCTCCCCGGCAGTGTAGATGCTTCAGGCTTGTTGCAGGGGATATGCTTTTGTCTTCATTCTGGATGCGGTACAACAAAAGGTTTTTGTTGGGATTAATGATTAGGCTTACACAATAGTTTTTACAAGCAGAGTGTGTTTGGAATGTGATTGGAAACGAGAAGATAAACGTGCAAAAACCGAGAACACATTAAGACATCTGTGCAATTCTGAGTTCGTTCGGACTGTCTAAGCAAAAAGGCAAAACGTGGAACACGAGCTAAGATCTTCAGGCTTCTTTTGCCCAGTTTGTTCGGGTTGTATTCGGAATACGTTCCGAAATAATTGTGATCGAACGTGCGGAGAAACAGCAACATGAAGGGGGGTTGCTTTTGTTTGCTTTTGCTTGTGTATTTCTGTTGCCCTGGCTGTTGGCATCTTCTGATATCCGTCGCGCTTTTTTCAGACATTTTCGGAATGTTTCCAGACTTCCCGTTGCAATGTGTTCGGATTCCAAATGGGCCCGACACCGAAAAAATACTGTTTGCAGGAATTCCCACCTTAGCCTTCTATTCTCTATGGATGCAGTCCTGTCTCTGCTTTACAACGCATCGCTTAGATGTCCTCCATCTCCAGTGTAGAAGGTAGATGCAGGGAAAGAAGATACTTTTGATTGAGCTTCTATCTATTCCTGTCTCACCAATCTCGGCAGCTGAGGCAAGGAGTTCAGCGAGCAAAGTTCGGCTGTCGCAGCCAATCATGCGGATGCGTGGACTCGAACCTCATGCAGGAGTCCGTGTGGGAGCTAGGCGGGCAGGGGGTGTTTGAGGCTGTGAAGCAGATCTCTGTTTGCGCTGTTTACGTCCTTCAGATCATTCTGGCATGTTCTGCATTCGGGAAGGGGTTTTGAGGTGCTTGGAGTTGTGCTCTTCAAAACCGGACGCGCTGCATGTGAAACTCGCGACATGCTTGTCGAGATGGGATCAGCATCCATACACTTCAAGCATTGGTATTTCCGCACGCAGCAGCGCATGTCTATCTGACTCGGGGCTACATGATTGGTACTGGTGCGGAGGCAGCCGTTTCGCGTGCATATCTGCCTGGGCCGAAGCTACTGACCTAGCCATTTACGAGGCGCGCCGGCATGCGTCGGCATTGCTGCGTAGTGATGGCAACGGCTCGGTCGTGCACGTTTCGGGCCCAGGGTGGACCGGGGCAAACAGGGACCCGCGGATACAGTAACAAGCCTTACCTGCTTTTGTAGACTTGCTGCTAGTAGATGGTATTGCGGTGCTGCTTTGCAGGCAGATCCGTGGTATCAACGGCTTCGCATTGAATGGGACTTGCTTATGCATCTTCGGCTCAAATTTTCGCGCAATTTGTTGCTGCTGTCCGCTATCAGATGATCAGCCGCACAGCAAGTACAGCTTGAAGGCCTCAGCTTTTTGCATGGGCAATGAATCCGCCCAGGCAGTCGCTGCCCATTTGGCTTTGTGCCGGGACGGAGGGGCCTATGGAGGCATGACGAAATTGCGCGTTGGAATACCGGCATGTTCATAATTTGTTTAGGCAGGGTTATTCTCATGTCTCTTGAGCCCTCACTACTTGCCTACGGCCGTGGGGCCGCAGAACTCGGAGCACTCGCCGCCTCAGGTGCTGATCTGCGTGACGGGACCCGAGGAGGACCAGCGGCTTGTCTGCAAGCCGGTGTCGACCTGGGGTTACTTGGCACATGGTGCAAGCCTGCTGATGTGAAACGGCAAGTTCCACATTCACGACTCGCACATAAGTTTATGGACACAAACATGCGGTTACCAGAATCCCTTCGGCCTTACAAGGGCCTCACTGCTTGGTGCGGAGCCTTGCGTGGACCTTTGGCCACCGATTGAGCACCGCAGGGTGCGGAACGAGCGGACAGGCCGCAGGGACTGCAAAACTGTGTTGGGAAGAGTTGCAGGCTTTGAATCTTCAGGGCTGTCTTGCGCTGGTAACGTAAGGTAATGTCAGATGCTCCATTGCAGATTGCAGGTAGGCTCGATCCACCCCTTGTCAAGGTGCTGTTCGCCTGCACATACCGTCGCTTCCAGCTGGGCAAACATTGCGGGTGAGCTGTTTGTGGCAGGAAACCGGCTGGCCGGACACGTGCAATCGCGAGCACTTGACCGCTAGTGCCATTCATCATCTACTGTTGGTGCATGTTGGTGCTCTAATTAGCAACCACCGGACGGATGCCAGATTCGTGTGCAGCATTCACGGGCCCAAGCTTGACTGTCAATGCACGTATAAGTCATGCAGCAACAGAATCTCGCGCAGTGCTATGCCACGCATTGTGATCAGTTTGCTGTACGTCTGGACCGACTGAACAGGAGCCTATCGACCCTGGACGACATACGGGACGATCAGCACCACAACTTCTGGCTCGGCGCCAAGGGACGCACTTCCAGCGACGGAAGGTGCCGGAAGAGTGGGCCGATAAAAGAGTCAGTCTGCGTTGTGTCGGTGAGTTCATCTCGCCATAAGGTCTACTCATCTGGTCCTTTGACTGCGTCGGTTCCAATGCAGCATCTCAGATGCAGTTTAAGACCTCGGGTTCTCGGCAAGGTTGAGAAAGGACCAAGTAACTGAAGACATGCGAGGCCAAGCCCAGCAAGCTCACGGCTTGGTTTGTGTGACCCGCCACGCGGCCCTGCTGCACTAAAGTGCTTGGACATGACCCGAATGCTGGCAGAAGGACGTAGAAGTGATGACGGCTGCTTACCGCTATATCGGTGTTGGGGACGAGCTTCGACAGTTTGCAGCACTACAAGGAGAGATCCAGGGCTTCTGGCAAGCCTCGGCGCTTTTTGCTGGCCTCTGGACACAAGGCATCCGGTAATCCCTGGAGTCCTTGCAGAAATTCTCAAGTTCTACGTACGCTGTATCAGTTGATGACGGACCCGCGGGACAAAAGTGCTGACACCCTGGATCCCATGGCTACATACATGACCGATCAAGTTGACGGTAGGGCAGGCGGAGTCGTTCTGTAGTTGTTGTAGGCATTCCAGCATGCAACGCCGAAACGCGCCTCACCCACCTTCACGAAGACGTACATTGCACTCATACTGACATAGCGCATCGCATTTGGCAGGATTTTCGAGTGGCTTTGGCAGCTTGCGCAATCCACAGGCATCTCCTTTTAAATTCAGCTTGGGCCTGTTGCGCGCCTGAACTCGTCTCTCTGTCTCACAAGGTTGTATTACTTCGTGAGATGCGTCACACACTGGTAGGCCGAATAAGCGTCCATAACTGACGAGCTGGCCAAAGCTGAGAACCCCGGACCCCCAGCCATGGAAGCCTGCGACTTTCACGCTGAAGCTCTCCCATGATGTTTTCGGCACTATCTGCGATCGTCCTGAAAGCTCCGAGATCATGTCAAGGGATCCATGGCATTCAAAAGCCAGAAAGCAGTGGCCTCCTTCTCCCAGGTCGTCTTAGAGGTTCCCAGGAGCCCTGGGCGTGGCGAGGAGCTGCAATTGGAGCTGTTTCTCTGCAGCTTGGTGGATCCTCGAAAAACTCCGCTTCGAGCCTAGTGCATGCGTCCATGTGCGTCCACAGATCAAGGTATTCCCGCAGTGGCCGTTCCGAAGAAGTCCAAGGCTCTGCTGCAATCAGGGTTTCGGGCGGCTGACTGTCTGTTAAACAAAGGCAGGTGATCGCGGCACGCGGCAACAGTCGGTCAGCGCGATGTCAGCCGAGCTGCCGTAGCAGCAGCGTAACGGCTTCCACCTGTCTTCAAGCTGCATCAACTAGGTTTCAAGCTTCACGGGCGTGCACTCTTTCAAGAAGATGCGAAACTCGCGCGACGCCAATCGCTTCACAACTTCAAGAGAATCTACTGCCGCAGCAGTGTCACCCAAAATCATGCATAAGTGTAGACGGACAACACCGCCTAACAGGATGAACAAAGACAGACAAGCAGCCATTACACCCGCACGCAGACTGACTGGCCGGCTGGCGCAGCTGAGTTGTTTTTGTACATTAGTGCCAAGGCAAAGGCTTCAATGCTCATATGCGCACTCGAAATTGGGGTTGGTTTCTGTGGGCGTGATGTAATTGTGACTTGAGGCTGGGTAGTCTTTGAACGAGGTATTCGGTCCAATTCCATAGGCTCGTCGCTTGTCTCAGGCCTTCAAGCTGCAACTGCAAGCTGTTCCTAAACTCCTGTCCAGGACGTGCAGCGGCCCAAAGTGGCCATCACCGTTTTTGTTCGTCAGGCCGCTCGAGCTGTTAACTGGGGAAGGTCGTACTGTAGTGCAGATGCATTTCTAGCTCTGAGACAGCAGCCCCCCTAGACAAGTTGACACGCCGCGAAATTGTCCTATTGGTAGCCGCATCCAGGAGGAATCCAGCCGCAAGGACAAAGGGGCTCCAGAGCGCCTCGCGGAGGGAGCGCCTGGGCTTCCGAGCCTGAGTGATTCCGTCACAGAAGGAGAGTAGGTCGAAAGGCTCGGTCTTCAGGATGGGGAGGCTGGGGTGAGATGGTTAACAAGATTTACGGGAAGTGTTTCTAGTCTACGCACGTCGCCGATTCCCAGAATGGTTGCAGAGTGCACTCGAGTTCGTCACGTCAGTTCAAGGTGCTTCGCAAGGAGTTGAAGAGTGAGAAGGCAACGGTCGGCTCCTATGTGTGGGACCCAGACACTGTGCAGAAAGGCTGGCACCAGAGCCTCATGCAGCCTTCCCCGCTCAACCCGTGCCTTGAATCGACGTGGTGGTCAGTCTGCGAACAGGCTTATTAATCACACAGAATCGACATAAGAATCTTATCGGCACCTCGTGGCACCTGCAGAAGGCAGGTGCTGAGAGTGCTGAACATGTAGTCTTCGACCCAGCTTTATCCAGCTTCGACCTCTCGTGATCGACAGAGAATGCAACTCAGACAGGCCCTCCAAGCTTGTCCGCAAAATACAACAAGGCCGTCGCCTCCCTTACACTGTGCGGCGCAGAGTCGCGACAGCAACTCTTCGTCGTCTTGCAGAACAATGACCCTCAGGATCGAGGGTAGTGCTTGTCACGAGTCATTTCTTTGGCATGGAACCGGCTTGAGCTGGCACCGTTCCTCCCGCTACTGCCCTGTGGGTTCAGGATGCATTGTCGATGGTGGCTGAAGTTCGGCGTTCCGAGACCGTGTCATTACGCCTCCCTGCTTGCGAGGAGTCTTGGCCGTGGCAGTTGCGAGTTCTCGCGAGGCCGGCCTGATGCACGAACTCACGGATAGATGAGCCATGATGACCAACATGCAGCAGAAAATCACCCGGTCCGTGTTGACCCCCTGTACCGCAGTTTCGATGAACATGTCTTGTTATTCATGGGGTGTGGCAGGATTCGAGCAAAGGACGGTGAGATGCCAATGGGCGAGGCCTGAGATGTCCACACAGTCGGGGCAGGCGTCGCAAACCCAAGTTTGTAGAACAGTTGACCTTCTGCCCTGCTTCCTTTTGCAACTCCATGAAGCGTGCAGTGTCTAGCACTCAGACATTTGTCAGTTTCAAGCATGTCGCCAGGCAACGATTCCACCTGCCCCGGAGATGCCCGATGCACCACCGCTGCGAGGAGCCGTGCTTGGTGGCCTCCCGGCAGTCTGAAAGCAGAGCGTGTGACACGGTCAGGATAGACACCACGAGCTCCGACATGAACGTAGGGCACACCACGCCAGACTTGATCGCGAGTTCCTGTTCGATATGTCCCAAGTTTCTCTTCGAAGATGTTCTAAGCTTAACAGTCGTACAGGAAGCCTGTGAAACAATCGTAGCTATTTCGTTCGGTTGCCGCTGAGGCATTGCAGAGCCTGGACGCCGGCAACTCAGGGTATTCCACGCACCACGTGTCAGAGGCTGAATCCTCAAGCTTGAAGAATCGATACGCGTACGCGTAAAGCGCTGTGCCTGAAGTCTGGATGCGAACTGGATGCGAAGTGCAGCAAGCTGGGCATGAGGGCATGTGCCCTGCAGCCCTCCTTAAGGACGTTACGTTTTTGTGCATTCGCCGCCAGCGTTAAACCACGATCCACATACCGAGGTATCTATACATGCTGGCCAGAGGCCGACGGAGAAACTGTGAGGGCCGATGATGGGAGACATGTTCTCTCGCTCGTGGCGCAGGCCCTAGCACTTTACATGCCGAAGCGTGTAAAAGCTGCGGTGGCAGTGCCCACTGATACCGACGACGAGCCTCAAGGAGTGTGCCTTCTTCGCACCTTCGCGTCTGCCCCGGGCTCTTGAGAAGAGAAGTCCATCTCTGACGTCAGGACTCCCCACGCCCGAGACCTCCCACTCTTGGATGCTCGGGCAGCAAGACTGGCCCGCGCAAGCCCCAAAGGCCAGGATGCTCCACAGATCTCTACAGCTCCAGAGAGTCACTCAGAGATCATCGTTGAAGGTGGTCACGAGCTGTGGCACCATCGCATCTGAATCTTGGCAAAAATCCAAGAATCTACTCATTTGCACAATTTTTTGTCCTCTCCCGACAAGCTGAGCCAAGCTGGAACAGTGGTTTGAAAACTCGAGGAGCGAAGATTCAACGAACCTGGCCCGTGGCCGGAGCGTGATCCTGCAGTTGTCCCTGAGGTGGGCGTGCGCAGTAACGGGCAAAGGCTGACCTTCACGCGCTCTCACCCTGTCGCAGCTCCTACAGATCTAAAGTAAGCCAAGGCCACCAGAGGCTGCCAACCACACAATGGGACACATCCCGACAGTTTTGTCTTCCCTGGACTGTTTTTCTGATGCACAGTTGCGAGTCGTGTCAGAGCTGACGAGGTGGACGAGGAAGCATTCCCCGATATCACTGCCACATTAGCTCCACCAGCTCGAGTGGCCATTGCGCCTGGGCGGAGTCGTCTATGGATGTGTGCTAAATCCGTTATCAGCGGAAAACTGCATGTCTTGCGGCATGCGTGGCGTTGCTGCTGCTCATGTGAGGGTTACTTCCTGAGTCTAATACCAGTTTTTAGCATTCGTAGTAGGACGAGTATTACTGTCGGTAATATCATCGGCAGAAGTAGTAGGGCTAAAAGGCTGAAGGTTGGCAAGAAAAGCAGGAGTAGCACAAGATGTAAACGTAGCACTACGACTGGGGCTAGGCTTGAGCAGGAGGAGGAGGAGCAGTGGTAGTACACGTAGTAGTCGTAGTAATTAGTAATCGTAGTAATCGTAGTAGTCGTAGTCGTCGTAGTCGTCGTGGTAGTAAAAGCAGTAGTAGCAGTCGCCGTCGTCGTAGTGGTAGTGGTAGTGGTAGTGGCAGTGGCAGTAGCAGTAGTAGTAGTAATAGTAGTAGTAGTAGTAGCAGTAGTAGTAGTAGTTGTTGTTGTAGTAGTAGTGGTAAAGTCGTAGTGGTAGTGGGAGTGGTAGTAGTAGTAGTAGTAGTAGTAGTAGTAGTAGTAGTAGCAGTAGAAGAAGAAGAAGCAGGCATGCATTCGCTTCAGTACGGTCCAGGCCATAACTGCAAAGGTTCCAGCCTTCAGCGGTGGCAAAGGAAAACTGGTCAAACGCTTGTGCTCGGGTACTCTAGTCACGGCAAGCTGTGCGCCACTATCGAAGCCTAGCTCGTTCGGGCGTTCAACATGAGTTTCGCGGAAGCAAGACTAGTGGCTTGGTGAAGGTGGCCTGGGAGGTAGAGGGAACCAATTTGGCGCTTGTACGCTGGTTCTCGTGTCTTCGCACATTCTGACTCATGCAGGTAAAGGATGAAGGCCCTGCTCGCTCGCAGGCACACACGGGTGTGCTACCGCCTTTAGCAGCTGAAGTCTAAGCATCTCTCTCAGCCACATTGCCTTGCTCTTTGTTTGGTTGCGTGCAGGCCTTGTCTGAAGTGCGCGAGGTAAAACCGGATGCAGAAGCGAGGAGGAGCCTGGGACTTGACAGTTTTTGAGCCAGCGCTTGTGGCTTGGAAAGAACTGCTACGTACTCCTGCTTGAGAAGAACGCAGCTACAGTGGCAGTGGCCAACATAAGCAAGTGGATGGCAGGAGACCACCAGTGCCTCTGCCACCGAAGCGAATCTTGTCCTCACATGGCTGCATTGATTGAGAAGTTAAGTGCGATTGCTGTTCCAGGCTAACCACGTGCGTGCAACCAACAAACACTGCTACTGCAAGCCATGACGAGCAGTCTGCTGAGGATTGCACGTGCGCAGCCAGAAGGACAAGGACAGGCAGAAGGAGAGAGGGAGCGAGAGAGAGAGCCCTGTGAAGTGAAGTGAATTGGAGCGAGTGCCCTGGCGAAAGCAAGAGCGACGCAAGTGCAACCCTGCTGAAGAGTGTGGGCCTCAGCGTGTAGAGCACGGTGCGACTCGTTCGAGCTCAGAACGAACGCATGGGAAAGCGGAGTAGCGCTCGGGAGTTATAACATATCCTAGTTTTGTCCCCGTTTGGGATTTTGATTTTGGTGGATTCTAGTTCCTAGGCCCTAGGCAAAGGCAGGAGGCCGGCGTTCAGGAGGATTCGAGAGCATGCCCACAATGCTGTCCCCGAAGTACTGGCGTAAGAAGCTAGCCGCCAAGTTCGTAAAAATCCCAATGATCGTCGGTGGTTCGTTGGTGTTGCTGTATTCGAGGTGAAGCCAGCAAGTCGACACTCTTGCCCCGCCCCATCTCGAAGCGGCACTGTGCACAGGAGGAAACTGAGACGACTGCCCCGGAGCATGAGGACATCAATAGGGGCAAGCGGCAAGATGATATCTGGGGCCCGATTGACTTCTTGTTCTGTACTTGGCGAATCTGCATCCTGTCTGCGGTTGCATCCGTTGACGTTTGTTTTGGGGCAGGATTTGCCGCAGGAACCTCCTACACCTCGAAGGCACAACTCGGTAGTTGCAAGCTATTCAGAATGAAAGCCCCGAACAGGCCGGGCCCGCCGGGGCCCATGCCCGAAGTCGCCATGCCTGCCTCGCAGTGCGAACGTCATGCGCGGATTGAGGCGAGCCGACCTCCCTTTCGCTGCTCTAGTCGCTGCCTAGTCGCTGCTAGTCTGGCATCCCCCGCCTTGACAGGCTCTGATGCGTCGACGCCGATACGGTCGTCGCTCTGCCATCAAAACAAGCTTTGGGGCGAATGACTTTGAATGCCACGTGTCAGACATGCAGTGCTTCGGGCCCATGAGACAAAAGTGACAACATCTCTGAGACAAAGAGGGCCGCGGCCTACTTCTGGGAGAGCATTTGTCTGCGAGTGGTGAGCACAATGCCGCGCCGTGGGTTGGGTGGGCACACTGGACGGGGTCAGGCCATGAGGCGAGGGGATTCCTTTTGCCAACTCTATTCACAGACTTTTGAAGGAACTGCCGCATGATATGCTTTTGTTTTCCTCTTGTTGGTTCATCCCCCACCTCGGCAACAGTTTCGAGCAACATCCATGCAACCCCTATGGCCGATGAACACGGAGAAGCAAACAGCCAGAGAGAGATAAGGAGATCTCACGAGAGCAGGAGGAGAGGTCACTCCCCTTGTCCTTCGAATTTGCCAAACAGAGAAACAGGTACCGGTAGAGGCATTAGATCCGTTTACCGCGCAGCTGCGAACATGCCAAAAGACCGAAGCGATCTGCAGAAACAATACCTTTGTCCGCACATAACTTACTGAGTGCACCTGCCGAGGAGAGCGCATCATGGAAGACCCACATTTCTACCGCGAAGGACCCAGGCAGCAGACGACGCTAGGCTCAAATGGCATGACGGCGTCGGGGGACATGTCCAGCCACAACAGACGTTACGTCCACGCCCCTCAGATGCAGCGAAGACTTTACTGTAGCTGCTGATGAGCTGTGCACTAAACCGCTAGCAGACTCTAGCGTGTCATGTGACCATACGCACGAGACCTGACACCTCGCCAGCAATCACCAGTGGCAACGACCTCGTGTGAGCTTTCAGCAAGTGGGCAAATCGGTGGTCAATGTTGTAAAGCACGCTCAATCCCAACTCTACGGGGCAAGTGCAAGAAGAGGAAGCCTCTAATGCCGAGGAACAGCCTTCCACCACCACGTGTCAGACGGCCGCGCATGGCGCACTCAGATGTGTCCCGACGGCATAAGTTACCCGTCATGCCTAGTTGGCTGTAAAGACGGGTGGAATGGCAGTTGAGCCAAGGATCCTGTCGAGAAGCCGGAGTGGCCCAGATGCTTTCATTGTTTTCGTATTGCCAACTTCAAGACTTGGACTTGGAAGCAAGCAAGGCCTCAAGTGCCGCCACTCAGCGCCCGCGGAGAACGAAGCCCTTCACTGCCACCGCTGCCACCCATCTCGGCGAGGGAAGGACGCTCAGGGCCAGGGAAGGTTCCTGCCGCCGTCGCTTCGAAACACCTCGTTCGATTGGAGCGCCAGCACGGCCGTGACCGCCTGGGCTTCGGATGCTCGGCAAGGGCCAAAGTTCTTATTGGGCGTGTGACATCCTCACGTGAATCTCCTCGGGCGGCACGGGTGATCAGCTTCTGAGGAAATGTTGCCGCGGGAACGCCGCAATCTCCAGCAGCTGGACTTGACATATCTTGACAGATTTCAACGGTTGCCTATCCCGCAACTGACTGGAAACCCAAGGTTGCGCCTGAAATAATCAAGGTGGCGTAAGATTTGTACATGTTCCCAGACGGGCTTGACTAGGTTTGTGCAAAGAGAAAGTCGTGGCTGTGGTGAGTGCAACCGTGCACGTGGCGGTTCGGCTCGCTTCAATATAGTTCCGCCGCGCCGGTGTCGTTCAGTTTTCGTGATCCTCGATCTAGCCTACAGTCTGAGATACATGCACCTCATCTTCGGCGCTCCGAGAACCGTAGTCAGGTGCTGGTGATAAGCTGGATTCGTGACGGGGCGCTGGCAGACTTTAACAACGCAGCTCCAGAAGGTCACCGACGGAAGGGTCGCAACACGTCATGGTCGTAGCGAGAGTCGTTGCTCTTCCATGGAACACCCGCATTGGCATTGCGTGACCAGTTGAAGCTATTGCTGCGAAGACGATGATGTGATTTTGTAAGTGACGGAAGTCCGGTAAAACAGGCTTGGCCGTCCCGGTTAACTCCGCCATCGCACGGACCCAAGACCTTTGAAAGCAGCAGGTGTAGTGCTTGCAGACTGTGTGCCTTCATTGCTGCATGTTGCTTCGAGCTCTAGATTTCGAGAAAGTTATCGTCAAAGCTCTCCGGCGGAGTGTGCCAAGAAAAAAAGTGCGGTACGCGGCTGTCAAAAATGGGCCGGGTTGCTTGGGGCTGCCAGCAGCTTGGCGCATAGGCTGTGGGCCAAAGGGGAATATTTCGCACACCAGTCTCCAGCGCCCCTGCTGTTGCTGCAGCTGTACACAGCACGTGGGCCTATTACTCGCTGCTCAGGTGTCCGTCAACGGGATCTCGGGCGATGTGCAACGAATGAGGGAGGCACTGCGATCGCAGGCACCGCCGCGGCACTTTAGATGCAGTCTTTGCGCTACGGTGGGCATTCGGGAAGAGACGGACAGACCCCAATCCCAGAGACGAAACAAGCATGGTCTGCGATGTCTGCGAGTCTCGAGTAAATGCTCCAGGACTTGTCTGTCCGAGTCACTTGACGCATGAGCTAGCTCTGGCAACGAGACGGCTTCATGTAGGATACAAGAAACTTCGCGATCATGTAGCTGAGCGTCAAGCCAACTCAAGACGTGCGTGATACATCAAGATGTCAATAAGTCAATAAGTCAGAAAGATGGGCGAGGTCGTGGAGATGGAAGTCATGGCTCCAGAACGGTGGCGGTACTCGAAGGCCGGCTTTCAACGAGTCGAGGCCAGCATTGCTTTCGAGAGCTGGCCCAGGTCACGAATTCGTTTTGAACGCGGCTGGGCTGCATTCATGCTTTCGAGAGCTGCCTGCGCAATCTGCAAATTCATGAAGCCCGTTCTGACTTCTGCAAGGGATCCATGGACTTGCAATTGCATTCTGCACGCTGTGATTGAACAAGATCAGAGGGTGCAGCTGCTGCGAAGACCGCGGCAGAATTTTTACAGTCTGCGCAAGCCTAGAGGTCCCGGCATTCGAGGTTCATGGTGCTGTGGTTTCCGACCACGCGGCTTGCGTAGATGTGGGTGGGATCAGCACAAGCACTGCCCTGCGCTAATGCAAGTCGCTGCCCCGATCTGGGTAATATGCAGTCAAGAGATTGCAGCAGCAGCACGACTACGCTTGGAAGACGCAAGCTTCCTGTTTTCAAAATCGTGCCCAGAAGTGGTGGAAGTACGTAACTTCGATCCATGCAAATACCCGCAGGAGCTCGACAAGAACCCTGAGTTTGCTCCTCCTGGTACAGAGCCTTGTACCCAGCGCAAAAGCCACGCCATGATGCTGACGCTGCAGGTAGCAATTGGTTTGGGAGACTTGCTGATTGTTCTCAGGGCTCAGAACATGGAGCTTGTCATCGGCTGGAACGGCGTTCAGCAGAAGAAGGACGAATCGCAGGTGGGGCTGATCGGGGTCTGATCGCTGACAAGAATTTCAGTTTTGTGTTTCAATCTTGACTCTGAACTTCACTTGGAGCATCTCTATCTTCGACGTTTCTTGAAAACTCTGCAGCTGGAGGTGCCCAACTTCCCGCAAATGTCCGGCCTCATCAGCGCAGCAGAGATGATGTTGAAGGCTTCTGCTTCAGTTTCTTTGCACAAATTTGTGCACGAGAACACCCAAGTGCTGCCGGAGCCAGTCCAGCCGAGTCCAGCCAAATTCAACTCAGTTCAAGTTTCGAGCTCACAAAGCGGTCATGATTGGGAAAGACGCTTCAGATCAACTCCGTCTACTCAGCAGTGGCAGAAAAAACCTACCGGAGAACTTGACAGCATCTGCTCGGTTTCATGCTGGTCCGCTTCCTTGCCACTTCGGCCAGCCTTTGCGGCGCCTCGCTGCCGGAGGCCTCTGTCTTCATACGGCTCGAAATGATATCGGGTGGACTCCTGCAGCCCTGCGGATCGTGTCACTGCAGGCCGGCGCGAAGCCCAAAGCTGATGTGAAAACACTGCAGGACAGGGGACTTCTCACGGAAGGGTAGTATCCACATATCGACAGCCCTGTCCAGCTGTCAGAGTCCATGAGTTGAGACCTTTGCGTTCCCAGAGACGTTTCCCAGTCTAAGCCAAAGAGCAGGGAACTCATGCCAAGGAGGTGGAGCAAGCAACGAGTGGGGGCAAGTACCCTCGAGCGTTTCCCCACGGCGTGCTGAATGCAGAGTGGAGTAACGATCGGAAGATTCTGCGCAAGTTGCGCAAGGCGACATATGTAAGCTCCCTGATAGGAACATGAGGGAGGGGGCAGACCTTGCAGAGTAGTTGCTGGCCGAGGCATAGGCTCTCCTAGTCTGCTCGGAGGCTTTGCGAACGGGCAAACCCTTCGTGATCAAGGACTTCCTGTTCGGTCCCGTTGCCGAGGCTCACCTCGCGTTGTCGCCTACAGAAAAATGGAAGCTTGTCGCAGCAGCCTTGAACGCTCGTGTGAGACAAAGGCCTTGCTGCAGCAGTTGCAGCAGCTCAGCGACTTGGGAGCATCAGAGCATCTCCTGGCCCAGGGGAAAGTGTTCGAACAGGGAAGAAGCGTTCAGCCTTAGGCCTTTGGCTGAGGCGATCGGCAGGATGACGAAGATGAAGAGGGCTATCCGTTCCAAAGACTGACGGAAGGCAGGTCAGACGCGCTGCAGTCCTTAGTTGTAAGAAAGCCTGTCAGCGTAGTTGAAGCTTCTGGCACGAGCATCTTGGAATGTTTCGGAATGACCGTTATTGATGTTCCTCCAGGTGTTGCCTAAGTACGGAGAAATTTCGTGACCCACTGCACATGCTCCCATGCCTCTCTACATTCCCAATACTGCATGGGAGCAAGCCCCCGGCATGCCGCGAAGGCCCATTTCACTCTCAGCCGAGGGGCTGGGCACCTTTGAAGCCCAATCCGTGCACACAAGTGTCCTGGCCCAACTAATGGCAAAGCAAGTGAGTTGTTCACCAACGTCATGCGTTGCCGGGCCCTGCCGAGGTTGTCTCGGATTTCTTGGGAACGCGAAAACACCGCTTCGCCTTTACAGGGCACATCTTGATTGGTCGGAACCTGGGTCGGGAGGAAGTTGCAAGTTTGGTGGTCCTGGTGGTGTGGTGTAGTGACTGTAGTGATTTTAACACGTGCTTGGCCAAGGACAGGGGACAAGCACAACGCCTGGCATTCTGCTTTCCGTCAAGCCATGGAGCACCCGGCGGTTGTCCAGTTCTGGCAGGCACGATGTTGGCGAGCGGGAGCCGCGTTTGCTCGTGTCGTGCCATAAAGCAAGTGGAGACATCCTTCCGTTTAAGCCTGGTGGACATCGAATCTAACAGCTCATGTGGAGCTATGCAAGCACCGGGATTTTCGCGGAACCTGGACATCCCTGCCTTGGCAGGCTCTCACTGGCATGCCGAAGTGGGTGACACGCTACGATCCTTCATGGTCTTGGTTCCGCATTTGCAGAAGGATGCATGTACAGTGTCAGCTGGAGGTAAGCAAAGCACTCTTACTCGCCGCATAGGCCCGCCAAGGTTGGGCCTGATAAACCTCCGATAGCCACAGGCTTCGCCCGGGTGACTACTACGGCCTGCATGCCGACGATGCGCAGGTCTCTGGCATTAGTGACCGGCCACTGCTCCTAGACGGTGGAATTCAAAGCTGGAAAGATCTGAACTTGCAGGCGAGATACCTCGCGTTGACCATCCACCTAGCCAGTGACTGGTTCGTCTGGCATGTTTCAAGCCAACCAGAAGCCAACCAGCTTGATTCAGAGCATGTTTTCCTGGACGGTCAGCAGGTCCGTAAAACAAGGAGGCGAGCTTGTCTGGTGCGGTCCAGAGGGTGACGGCGATGTGACCATCGAGGTCGTCGTGGGAATTTCACGCATTTGTTCAACTGGATACAAACCTAAAGAGTGAGAGGCCCCTGATCGGCCTCACTTCCACAAGAGCTTCAATGTCTCGAAGGGGGGCAGCGCTTTGCTGCCCAGCTTCAACGTGGCGGTGGTCTTTCCTGTCTTCCAGTGGCTTGGTTTGGCATTAACACCGTGTCGCTTGGAGCCTGCTGCCGGGCTGCAGCTCAGCAGTGCACAGGAACAGCTACCATGCCGTCGCCCCTGTTCACCATGGTGATGGCAAAGGCGCACCTGCTGCAGTCTGGGCACGAACCCACTATACTATGGCTGTTGTCTGGTGGCGGCATATGCTTGTGTCGCACAATGTTGGCCGCATCGCGCTGCGACCAAGCGAGCTCAACAAGTAGTTCAACTCACGGAGACAACCACGACCCACATTTTAGACAAGCCGGCATGATCGGCCCACACCAAATCAAGACTGTATCCAGCTTACGTAGCTGGTTCAAAACGCTGGCAAACCAAGAGCTTTTTGCAGGCCGGCGATTCACGCTTCAGGGCTGGCATCCTGGATGAAATCATTGTCCAGCTCACTACATGGCATTGTGCCCATGTGCAGCAGTGTCTTGCTGGTAGAGCCCCGGGAAGTCGAATGAAGCTGAGTCGAGGTATGTGGATCCATGCCAACTGCAAGAAGCCACTTGGCAGAGCTCAACCAACCGCCCCAGCATGCATGGCAGACTAGATGTGCACGGAAGCAGACACGAGATGGAAGCTCGTCAGACTCCGTAAAACGTTTCAGATTTAGGCTAGCAAGAAGCCCTAGCCCACTTCAATGCACCCTGGGGGGTGTGGGGTTATGGGTGTCTGAAGGTTTGATCCGCATGTCCCGGCTTTCCTATGGGTCCGGCGAGTTTCGCTTTTCTGATGCACATTCCAGCCAAGATGAAGATACTGTAATATTCTTGTAATCTTAGGCCAGGGCTAGAAGCCTTGAACGGGGACTTAGGCCAAAGGCAGCTGCATGCCCGACGCCATGCGCAAATTCAAGGCGAATCCTGTATTGTGCGGAGTTTGTACTGGAGCCCCCCCGCTCCGGCTTCACGGCCTTGTGCCAGGAGTGGTCAGAGAAGATCGCTGCCAAGTCCACTGAGTGGGCAGGCAAGGGGCCGTGCCCTGCCTGCACCAGCTTGTGCTCTCTGGGCTGCAAGCATGCCAAAAGCATGTGACTCCTCAGGACAGGCCTCCAAAGACCGAAAGCTCGCAGCCAAAACACTGAGTTGTGAGTTCGACGTTTGCCTTCCTTGGGCAGCACGCCGTGACCGCGGGCCGCCATCTGTTGTACCATGTATTTGCCGGCGCGGGCATCAAAAAAGGAAGGGGCGCAGTCTGCTCGTGGCTACAAGAAGCATGACCATCGAACAAAAAGAGTTTGATAGCTGCACAAAACAGTATATGACAGACCTCTGTGAACGACCTTTCCACCGCCAGGCCCAGAACGAAGCCAAATGGGCCGCAGAGAGCCCTTGCCATGTTTGGGACCTTCTCAGTGTGACAGTTGCAGGGCATTGCTCCAACTTATCGAGCTTTGCCTTGTGCCTCACGCCAGGAAGGCGTCGAAACCCAAGGCGGCAGGCAGGGTCAGTGTCAGGGTAGGTGGCGTGGACCCGTGCAGATGTAACGCGGTAACATACTTTAACACTGTAAGTAGGGGGCAGAAGTACTGTACACGCGGGCTTGAGAATGTCGGAGTCTACACCCCGTGCTTATGGCTCCGGTGCCTCCTCGCCCGAACTGCTGATGATACCTATGGCGGCCTATGAGTATCGCGGTGAACCAACTCTTCAACTGCTGAGCCACAGGGAGGACGGACTTAGGGGAAACGGTTGACTTTAGCAGCCCAAGTTCAAGCAGGTGGTGGTGCAGCTGCGGAGGCAGCGAAGGCGACGCCGCGACGCCCATCACACGAATCACAAAGACGGTACGATGAAGTATTGATGCATAGCAGTTCCGAAGCCTTCATGTGGGCGATGCTGACAATCAGATGCGATGAATGGAGAACTCCCTTCATTTACTGGACTTTCCCAAAGTGCTAGGGAAGTGTACTGTGCTTTACTGTACTGTACTTGCCCCTTGCTCTACAGCCTTAAGCTGTAGCCAGCCACATCAGAGGCACCACACACCCACCAAAGGCTTATTTCTTTCAGTGTGGATTACCCAGCATAAGCTGTTCGCCGCAGGCACCGACTTGTGAGTGGGTAGAGGAGACTTGGCGCGACAAGACGCTTGATCCGTGCTACCTGCACTTCGAAATTAATATTCAGTTGGAGCAAGGAAAAGACGGACGAAGGCAAGATCGCGTATCGCAATGGACGTCAGTTCCTCAGCGCTGCCTTACGCTTGTACACCGTAATCAGAAAACAAAATGGACACATGATTCCTTGAAGATGAGTGACATGTGGAGGACAAGTGCCAGCACAGCTGAACGTATCAAAACAGCACGGCAAACCATGCAAGCTCCTTGCGGTGCATGCGCCTCCCGGGATGCACCTGGACGTACCGACATGAGAGTCTTTCGAGGCACAGGTAAACACGCTCTCCCCTCTCTCCACGCTCACGCTTTCGCTCTCGCTCTCTCGCTCTCTGGCTCTCGCTCTCTCGCTCTCTCGCTCTCTCTCTCTCTCTCTCTCTCTCTCTCTCTCTCTCTGCGCTTGCTTCAGGAACCGGGGAAGTGGTCGAGGAACTTCCTGACGGCGTCACGGCGCGCAGGGCGAGCGAGTGCATCAGCTTTGGGTGAAGAGGGAAACTCACATGAGAATTTGTTTTATCTGGTCAGGCACTTGGAAAGACTCGGAGAGTTGTTGTTACTGGTCACCAGCTGCCCAAGAGAGAGAGGGACCAGAAGTAGCTTGTCTTCTAATTAGTTAGTTGCAGGCTGCTGATGTCCAAAAGGCGGAGGCGGTCCGGGAGACTCGGCTGAACACGACGTTTCCAGCACATTTTTCAAGAGGCATCTGCTTGGCGACGGTAGCAAGCCCTGCGTCTGATCATCTGCCAGCCACATGGAAGGATGGCTCTTCGAAGGCCGACCCTTTGTAGCAGCTCATTTGAGACCGTGTCTGCCTTCACTGGCTCTGCAATTGGAACTGCATCCTCTTGATACAGCTGTTATTTTCGTGGCCATCAACAGGCGCCCTCTCCGACGATGCCGCTCGGCGCACGTCCGCCCTGGCAGCAGGACAGACGATCTGCCCTAAGAATCCTAATCGCCACAGCCCGTGCCCAAGTTTGCCAGGCGAAGGCAGCAGCGAAGGCCTGGGCGGTTTGCCAGCATCGTCGCGTTGTGGCAACTTGCTGGGACCTGCGGAACTGTTCCGCAAACTCTTTGAATCACTGTAATCCTTATACGTTTTCAGCCAACGGCCGCAGCTGCTGTGGCTCCCACCCCGAGCCCCTTGAAGCGGCGGACACCTGATAGTGGAATCCATATTATTGCGTGGCGGCCACCCGCACGCGCACGCTCTACCTGTTTCGATGGAAGGCCGGTCCGTGCCGGTCCTGTAACGATTCTGCAGAGATTGACAGCAGTACAGATCTTTGTGATCGAAATCATCCTTGAGATTACCGTGCGCTGTTTGGGGCAGGACAGGCCGCTAGCGACTATGGCTCGCTGGAGACCGGCTCCGCGAATGCCTTCGTCCCAGGTTCCGTGCAAGCATTTCTGCTGAGAGCCCCGAGCTAGATGCAGCAACAAAGCCACCTTTATGTGCGTTTATCTTCAATATCTTCAATTGGTACTTGTAGCCTGCAGGCACTGTGTCACAAAGCTTTCATGAAGAAAAAGTTGCTGTCAGTCCACTCGCGTCAGTTGCAGCTTTGCTCGAGCCAGGCCCCGGCCAAGCCATCGAGACTGAGGAAAGCAAAGCGGCAGCTCGCGCAAAGCCGCTGCTTGGCCGCGACTTGCGGATTCCAGCTTTTAGCTTTGATAGGCTGTGAGACTCAACTACACCCTGCCGATTCTGGCAGTTCACTTCGCTGCCACAAGGTCCTGGAAGGATTTGCCACCGCTTTTGCTGCCTTGGATCCTTTTCGGAAGCTTGGCCGTCAGACAATCACAATCTGTAGGAGGTCAAGTTGCCACACAAAATCCCTGGACAGTCATGTCGTTGTCACTTGGCCGTGCAGGAAGAGTGAGTGCATGCTTCGCTCCGACGGAGGTGTGTGTTTGTGTGAGTTACTAATATTTTTTGCCTCTGGACATGTCTGAAGGTTTACACGACGTTTCCTTGCGATCGTGGCCACAGCAGGCCTTCAACAAGCATCAACTCCAAGCACCTGTCCACCATGAAAGAGCCGTCAGAATTCGAAGGGTACTGTAGACAGATGAAGTGGATCAGTACAACCCATGGTGTCCTGTCACCGAGCCAGACGATGAGACTGCCATTGGCCTCGTGCCTCCCGGACTCCCTAGCACGAGCACCAAGCAGACGAAAGAAAAACACCCCACTGAGCCACATCGAGTCACACGAAAGCAACATTGCTTATGAATTGACCATCGATAGTTAGTTGATGCTCTTGGTCCATCAGAAATGCTCAGCCAAGGCATGGTTCTTTTGGCCACAGCGCTGGTTCAGGGCCAGGCAATCTCACTTCTGGCCTCTGCTGCATGCAGCGTGTCTGAAGCTAATTCAGGTCCAAAGGCCGGATACCCTTTCTCTTGATTCTCGGTAGTCTCAGGCCTCAGGCCAGTGCCGGGAATGGTTCACATGCTTTCACAGCGAAGGGCCGTATCGCCCTAAAAGTGTGCGATCCTGAACACCAAGTACGCAGGGTTCAGAATTGATCCTTGGCCATTGTCTTTCGTGAAAAGTTTCTGCGGACACGGCGAACCCGAGCCCGAAAACCTGCTCACAGCTCGCCAAGTTGTGCTGTGCAAACGCCATTCTGGCTTGGCTTTAGTCGTGGGGTGATTTGGGCATAAGTAGCTAAAGCATGGACTCAACCTTAACCAGGCTGTGAGAGTCGAAACATTCAACTTCCTAGATGTGTGTGGTTCGTCTCTTTGGTTGCTCAGACTTTGTTGAATTGGCATGTGCTGCAGCAAGTCTCGACAGTCAAACTCAGGTTTCTTTCTCTCCGTGGGCTTTCTGCTGTTCTCTCGAGGGCCCGCTTGGCGCGTCCTTGCGGTCAGCTGCTTCTGTATCACTCTCTTTGGCATCGCCCTCGGGCTGCTCGTCTTTGCCGGGTTCGGAAAGATGGTGCTCACATTCAGGCTCTTTTAGGCAGACTGCCACCTGGATCACATGCCCTGTTGATGACATCTCAAGCAGACTGGCGGCGTCGAGCTCAGGCAGTACGACAAAATCAAGTACCTGCATCTTGGACGTTCAACACAGCCTCTCGAGGGCTGAAGCTCAGCCAGAAGACATTACGAAGTTCAGGTATCCCTACTATTTCTTCCAGCGCAGCCCCGGCTACTCCAACGTCGATCCGATGTCAAAGCCGGGCTCAGTGGCCGATGCAGGCAGCCTGGTCAACAGAAGACGGCTCCTGTGTTTGTAGATGTGCGCGTCCTACCAGGGTGGCAGAAGACATTCGATGACCTTTGATTGCAGTGCGGTGACCTGTTACTTGCGTTCTTGCTGTGAGGCTACGTGAGCTTTCAGTCGGGCAGCTTGGCTTTGTCCCTCTGAGTTCAGAACGAGCCAGTTGTGTTCGGTAATGCGGGATTCAACAGTTTATAGATAGGTGCTGAAGTCAGGAAGCCTCTGCGACTCTGCGACATGTGAGGAGCCATTTCATATGAGATCGCAAGGCCGCACGCAGGCTCTTCCAATTTGTCATATCTAAGGTGCGCATGTGGACACGTCCCGAGGTGGGACAGACAAACGCATGCCCGGCCCCATACCTTCCGTGTTGGGCGAAGTGTCTGCGTCTTGAAGAAACGGTGGTCGCTTGTTGCGTCGGCGTGTGCTTGGCCGTTGCCACAGGCGACATGTTTGCCCGCAGGCGTTGGCTTCGTTTCCGGCACTCTGTGGTGCGCCGCACCCGTTGCCACATGTCTGCAGATTCCTGGATGTGATACAAGACAAGTACCAGAGTAAAGCGTTTAGTTCGAATTCAGAGATGTGCCGCGAGGTTATGGACGAGATGGCGACGTCAGCCGGCTATTGGGCTGTGGGCACTGACTGCTGCAAGCGCCAAGGAAGCTTCGAATGTGGGGATGCGCAGAGTCTCGGCCAGTCGTGGCTAGAAAGCCATGCAGCTCAGCGCCAAACCACGGTCCTAACACGGCTGTCAGGTTCGAGAAGGTTGCTGGCACATGTTGGAGGTTTGGGTAGGGGAAAGTAAAGAGGAGAGGTGAGCCAAGGTTGCGGTGACTGTGCTTTTCGCACATAGTACGTAGCTTTAGTGCTATTCGCAGTGCCCAGCAAGTCAAAGTGATGCGCAGTAGGCCATGCCGATCAGTTTCGTTTGGTCAAAGTTAAAAGTAGCACCTCGACCGCTACAGTAAGTGCGGCACGACTGGGTTGCAAGTCCGACTTGGGGTGCAGTTCGGAGCACCAGGGCTTGCTTTCAAGACCATCGCGTTCTGACAGTGCAGTTCCCCAAGATGCCTTGGCATCTTGGGCCACGTCGCTGCTCTCGGTCATGGAATGAAGCTCTTGGACTCCAGGGTCAACGTGCTACCGTGTACCAAAAGATTTCATAGCTCATGCAAGCAGTAGTCAAAAAACAGTTGCTTGGACGTCCTACTATGCCTAGCTGTGGCTCATTGCAGGGGAGTTTTCTTGGTGCTGCCCAGGAACCGCTCGGTGAGGAGTGGTGTTGTGATTCAAGACTCCAGCCCAATTCTGGAAGGCCGGGTGCCTAACTCGTCAGCCTGACCCCGCCCAGAAAACCTTCGTGCATGTATGGCTTGGATGCCGGCAAGGTGAACTGCCCAAGTACATGCAGGCTGCGAGAATGGCTGCAGAGACCTATGGCATCAACATGCCGCGGAATCCAATGCCACCCGATGCACCCGAAAGTTGCGTGCTCTCCCTCGGCCTGCAGTATATTGATGTTGGGTGACGCATTAGTCAGTTTTTAGACCTTTGATCACATGCACAGTGGGTGACATGCGAAGTGCCATGGCATCTGGTCAAAAGTTATTCCTGCGAAACTGATGGTATGGAGCTGCGACACTCGGCAGTATAAACTGGAGCAAGCTGGGTCAGCATAATCTGGTACAAGCCGAGTCCAATCGCGAACCAGGTTCATCCGCTGGAACGACACGCCCGAGAGACAAGAAACTTGGTTCTGGCCACTGGGCTGAACGGCCCCCGAAACGGCTCTGGGACTTACAGGTCGCCCCCTGAAGAGCGACTCCCCAGTCGTGCCGCAACGAACCCGAGCTGGGGTGCATTGTTAGCACTCGCAAGCAGAACGAGTGTGTGAGGGTAGGACTTGCCTACGCCATGTCATTTCTGTTTCATTCGCCCTCCTTCGGTGGAGACAGCAATCGCACGATGTCTACAGAGGCCGTGTCAGGCTTTGTCTCTGAGTCGCTGGCGCAGTTCTGCAAACGGAGAGCACCTAAAATGACAAGTTCAGGAGCAATGCCGCGAATTTTGTCCTCATTTCCTTGGTTGTCTTCTTCCTTCTAACACCCTGCACCTTTGACGCACTTCTCAGCGGTAGCTAGATGGATAAGCTGGTCTGGGACTTCGACCGGCATCCGCTCAGATGGCCCGAGTTGATGCAACGCCAAATCGTATCAAATCCTGGCCTGTGACGTCGATGCCTCGAGGTCTCCTCCTAGTCTTCGTGTGCACGGGCTTTACGCTCTTCGGCATGGAGGCATGGTACTGTATCATAAATAGTCCAGGTCGAGCCGTTTAATGCATGCTCTACTATCACTTCCTCTTGCGATTTAAGTGGCGGCGCTGACCTCATGATGACATGTTTTTGCGTACACTTGTCTGCGCCAGGACAGTCCACAGTGGCACCCAGAAAAACTAGACTTTTGGATGGCATCAGACCACAAGTTTTCAACGAAGAGCTCATCGAATCGGATGGGTATGGTTTGGTTGATGCATCAGTGTAACATTCCAACCAGACAGAGTCGAGGTGTATGTGCCACTGCTACCACGCAGACAAACCAAGGACTTCATGACGTTCGGCTTCGACTGGACTTCTAGAGTGTATCCAAGCTACATCCGTCAGGAGCGGAGCTGAACATGCAAACCGATTCAATGCATGTACACTGCAGGCTGTGCTTTTGAATGCTGTTGCAGGTCAACTCCCATCAGACTTGTATCAGTGCAGCAGGACCTGCTGTACGGCCGTACGTTTTGGACAGGCGAGGTGATCGAGGACTATGTATTCCATGCCTCGTGATTGCACCAAGTCAAGCTTGCCGAATTCATGGAAAGCCAATCCCCGCTGTCTGCCTTGAGCATCTGTCTGTCCAAAACTGTTGGATCTGGGACTTCGCTTCTGCTGGGCTCTCCATACTGTCATTTTATTAGCCAGATTCCGACTTCTGGTGGGGTAGGCCCTATGTTGGGAAAAGATGGCAGGGCTCAAAGACGCTGATATCTTTTCCCCTCCCTCTTCTCTCCAATGCTCTTCTCCGATGATGAGGCCGAGATTTCAATGTCTTCCGTTGCTTTAGTGTTTTTTTTACTTTACGTACCTCCGAACTCAGACCGACGAAGGGCAGGCAGTTTGAAACAATTGTCGGGTTGAGGCAGGAGAGCTAACGGGAGTTTGTGAGTCTCCACTCGGACACCGATTGAGCTTTGTCTTTCCCCTGCTTTTGTGCAAAGGCGGACATGTGGACATGCGCATCTGTGAGTGGACGTTGTTCACAGTTCAGTTATCAGGTGGTGTACCCGGTCAGTCCCCTGGCGCTCGTGTAAGTACCTCCTCTGATTGTTGACGAGGCTGCCAACCGGCATGTCTACTTGGGCATCCTCTTCTGCCATCCTGCTCACCCCTACAGCAAGTGGCATGGCGCATGTTTGCACAGCCGGCGTTGTGCCTATGTTAAGTCGTTAAGTAGGTGCCGGTGGGCAAGCGCCTTAGCTGGATTGTCTGCCTTGAGGTGGCAACGCTTGGTGGTAGCGATCTCTGCCTCGTGCTGCGTGGCTGCAATTTAGCCATTTGCCCAGCTACACGGATGCCATGCCTTCCAGACTTTGATGAGAGTCTAGAGGCTCGAGAGTCTTTCCCGCATGTCCTGTGTGCTTTGCTCGATCTGTGCGGTGGATGCACAGGCATTTCTTGGTTCATTGTGACAGCCGTCGCAGCCTTTACTGGACAGACTGCGCTTCGCAGCTTGGCTGCGAAAGGAGGGCTGCCTCTGAACTGATCATGCTTCCAGAATTGCAAGAAGCCATCAACCAGTACCAAGTAGCACACCAGGCGCGTGTCTCGCGTGCATTGTCCGAGTGTGAGTGCCGAAACACACCAGGCATCGTCACTATCATAGTCCTCTGCCTGGTGACGCGAAACACGCTCAAGCTGGTCCTTCTCACGTACGGCATTGGGCGAGTGACTTGGCTCCGAGCAGATGTTTGGGCCACTAGACCTTAGGCACAGTTCGACCTCCGTAATTCCCGTAGGAGTCACTGTGGCTTCACACTTCAACCATCACGTCTGAATTTTGCAGTAGACACTCCAGCATGCGGCCGGCAGGATTTCGGCGAGGCCCACGTGATTCGCAGCTCTCTTGGCACGGCCTTGAGTGTAAATGCCTTGGGCATTCTGGTGTTGCCCGGCGTGACAGGATGCGGGATCTGCTTAGAGTGAGCCATCCCCACGCCAAGTCCCAGCAAGTGGGAAGCCCATCGAAGCGACGATGCCTTTGTCTGTCAATGTTAGAGCAACTTCTGCTTGCTCGCGATGTGTTTGAGTTGTAATGTAAAGTCTATCCCAAGGCTGTACCTGGTTATGGCAGCCTCTGCTCTGGGCGCTGCATCGGCGCTTGTAAGCGCGGCAGGAGCGAAATCCATCGGCAGCTTGGACGGTCAAATGGGCCGGGCGGGCCGGGGGTGGGGGGAGGTGCCTTCTACAGAGAAACAAGCAGACAGGCCTCAGGTGAGAAAGCAGCAGAAGCATCCGAACGCACAACTTAAAGGTGTGATGCCCAGTGGCGTGAGAAAGCCTTTTCAAGCCACGGAGGCGAGGAGCTCGGCAAGAATGTAGATGTCCTGGCCTACATGTATGCCTTCAGGCTGCAATGGAGGACTTGAGCTTTTTGTTCCCTTCGCAGCTGTAGCGTCTTTGATGCTTCGCGAGCCAGAGGCGATTGTTGGATGTCGGAAGGATGTGTTTTAGTTTTGCAACTCCAGGAAGGACCTTGGCAGACCGCGATGACTAACAAAATGCAGCGAGACTTGCGAGGTTCTCTCGCAACCTCGAACTGTGCCGGTTGGTGCCGGTTTGTAACTACGTGAAGGGCCGCCTACAGCGCCGACGGCAGGAGTCTAGAAGACCGGGTTGACATGCGAATATGCAGCCCAGGGGCGGGCTGGGACTTCAGGTGCACAACATGCAGGGAACCTGAATTCCCCAGAGGTAGAAAACTCTAAAGCAAAGGTTCCCACTTTTGAAACAAGCGGAGTTGTGCGCATCCGGGTTGGAGCGAGGGCCAATGTTGCTAAGCAGCGGGGTCTTGTACACGAATGTCACTGTAGCATAATTCTCGGATTTCCTAAGGTGAGCTCCGGTGGGCTGCTGGAGATTGGGTCCTTTCGGAGGTAGCGTAAAAAATTGTTCCGGATGTTCAATATCGGCGCCGTAGATTCTCGAGACTGCTGGGCAGGCATCCGCTCGGTATCCCTTGATCACAGGTCCTAGACTTCTTGGTGGATGCTGTGACGCCTTACGTGGGTTTGGACGAGCTCAGTGGTGTGTGGGCATTCGGCTTCTTTGGCAGGCCACTTTCTCAAAATCTGCGGTTGAACTCGCACATGACGGAGAAAACAAAGCCCAGAAAGAGAGAGAGATCAGATAGAGAGAGATGTGGATGAGATGTGGATGTTCTTGGTTACGGGGAGGCACCTGCACCACTGCGCAGGACCCCGAACAGGAGTCCTGCCTGCGGCAACCTTCGGACTCGTGAGGAAGAAGAGGGGTGCGGAATGACCAAGAGGGCAGAGACAGAATGATGACGCCGAAGGGCGAATTAGAAAGGTCTAAAAAGGTGTGTAGACAGATTAGCACAAGACCACGTGACGGACCACGTGTATGTACTCAAGCGTGTCTGCTAGCTACTGCTGTTCCAGGCGGAGTGAATGTTTGTGCACATGGCCTCAGCTTCCACATTTTCCTCCTCACCTTCGATCACTGGTTTGATGCAGGTGGCGAGATGAACGCGACGAGTTCGAGTCGGCGAAGGCTAACAGCCGCAAGACCTTTGGCTGCAGTTTGTTTGCTAGTAGCCTGCTTGTGATTGAGGGCACCGTGATGGTTGTGTCATGTTATTACAAATGATGACACGATAGGTTTTCTGTTTCGGTGAAGGATGTGCCTACCCGCCGCAAAGTGTACCGGTCCTCTCTTGTTTGGGTACAGAGTATTGAACGACGAAGTAGGGGGGGTTCATCACCCGCCACAAGTCTCTCAGGTGAACAGTACACTAGCTAGAACTTAGACTCCGATGGGCCCAGGATGGCTCAGGACAGCCGCTTTGGGCGTCAAAATCTCATCGCACACAGCAAGCAGATGAACCAGATTTCGGGACGGTCAGGCCGCGCAAAATAGCCTAAAGTTGCGCACTCGGCCAGGTTCCGATGGTCCTCGCTGGGTGCTGAGGTCCTGGGCTTCGGCCCTTCCGGATCTGCCCCCAAGCGAGGCCTGAGCGAAGTGTTTTCCTGAGCATCGCCGCATCGAAGTTTTCAGCTGAGCCCATGCAAGCTAGAGCAGCTCGTTGGCTTTCGTCAAGTCCTCAGGTTGTGACCATCGAATCTGTCTCCGGAACAAACACCAGATCCAACAAGCATGCTCCCATTGTCAGGCCAGGGCGATAGCTTCGTGGTGCCTCATGGCTGCTTGGCGGATGGTACGATTTTTGCGTAGCTTTTGGAAGTCAAGTAGCAGCTCCGAACGACAGCACACATCAGTCATGAAAGCATGCATGTAGAGTGAGAGATACAGCGCCAACATACGAAGCATCGGTTTTACGCACAGCATACCCGGCTTCCGTACCCTTCCGAACTGCCGGCTCTCGCGCTCTTAGGCACCGTGCAGGCCACAACTTCCCGGGGGGCCGCAAGCTTCGCCTCAGCCGGGCGGAAGCGCAGCTCCTGAGGGCTGGTGCCCGCTGGGGCGAAGCAGTTAATGAGCATTGAAAGGCTGTCGCAATGACATGCGATCAAGCACGAAGATTTGGTCTCGATCTCCGAGGCAGTTCTTTGTTTGGTGTAGGCAGGTAGAGTGATCGATGCCACATGCTGCGAAGCAGGGAAAGTTTTGCCGAATGCTCCGCAACTTGCAACCCTGGGTCCCGGGTCATCCGCCTCTCGGGACAGCTGGGGCTGGTGGTGCCGTCTAGTCGCCAGGCGCCCCCGAGGCCCAAGGAGGGGCAAATCTGGCGCGAGCCGGCAGCTGAGGGCATTTCCTTTCTCTGGAGCGTGGTCATAGTATGTCGTAGCCATGCGCATTTCACGACGAGACGCAGCCTCGGAAAGTTCCAAAGTTCCATTCTGTTGATGCTTCGGCTCAAGTGTCCAGTGCGAAAGTTCAAAGTAGGGGTCCTGACAGCGGGCAGACGAGACAGTAGGATTCTGGCAGACATCTAGACGCCAGTTGGCGTATGCCAGGCCATCAATTGGAGCAAGATCGCAAGCACGAGCGGTCGAGGAAACTTCTGGGACCGGCACCTGTAGCATTCGTCGCCACAGCTGGATTCTATCTGACGCTCCAGGCAAAGGGGCACGCAGGCTTCTTCCTAAGCGTGGTGCCGTGTCTCGGATATCTGACAGTGTGGACTTTCGTGTCGGGGTCCGCGAAGCAAATCCGGGACGTTGCCAAAGTTGCCAAGCTTGGTCGGGGATCTGGGTCTCATTGGGCTGTTTGAGAGCTGCGGCTGCGGAACCGAGTGTGCTTTGCCGTTTCGGCTTAAGTATTACCAAGGAGGGGAATGTGAGAGTAGTGGAGATGTGAATTCAGGGCTTCCGGGCCAGCGTGCTGCTGGTCTCCACTGGCCTGCAGTCCTTCAGCACAGATGTCCGGCCATGCGCCGTATCCTGGGAAAAGTCCATATAGCATGTTGTCAGTGGACGAGTGCGTGGGCATGGTGGCAAGCAAAGTACTTGGACCCCTTGAAGCCCAGACAGTGCCATTGGATGCTGCTTTGGGGCGCATCTTGGCAAAAGATGCAATGGCTGTAGAGGCGATCCCAGCTTTTCCAGCATCCATCATGGATGGTTTCGCTATGCGGTCCAAAGATGGCCCCGGAAAGTATCCGGTCGATGAACTTGCGGGTACCACTGCTGGGGCGGATTCGCATGGACCGCTGAGAGAAGGCCACATACGCTATATCACTACTGGTGCACCTGTGCCAGGAGGTGCAGACACTGTAGTTAAGGTGGAAGACACCCATCAGCTCCTGAACTGCATTGTCCCGGAATGCATCTTTGCAAGACTACTTGTCTAGCCTAGTGACTGTAGGTCCCCAGCCCCGAAAGAAGCAGGCTGGTGGATGCGGACGGGAAGCTGGAGATTGAGGTGCTGTGTTCCAGCAAACCTGGCGCAAACATCAGAGCTGTAGGCCGGCAGAGACTCGAACCTGTCAGCCGACAGCGTGCCAACCTGAACAGCTGAACAGCCCTCTTGCCATGCACAGGCTCGGACACCAAGCAGGGCGAGGTGATTCTGCGAAAATGCTGCCGTATCGGTGCTGCTGAGATCGGCGTGACTGTTCCGAAGGAGGGAGTTCTTGTTAAATGCATTGGCGTGCAAACAGAAAACTCTCGCTGAGGACTTGACGTTGTCTTATCTTGCGAGGCTTTGGATCCAAGTTTTGTTCTTGCACAACGTGAGGTTCTTGCGGCTCTCGGCCTTGGAAGTGTGGAGGTTTTCCGCGAACCCCGGGTTGCCATCATCTCTACCGGTGATGAGTTGGTGGATGTAGGTCGGATGCCAAGGTTGATCCGGGGCAGTAGTGTGGATGTTAGCCCGACATAGACCAGTCGTGAATGTACTTCCCAGAGGCGCCGCTTGCACTCTGGATCGGAGCCGTGGGCAGATCGTTGACTGCAATCGCCCGCTGCTCTGTGCACTCGCCCGGGAGCTTGGAGCGGAGGCGCGCACGAGATCCCAAACGTATTTTCTTGCCCCATGTGTGGGCTTGATCTGGGCTTCTTTAGGTCCTTAGTCTGCTTTCATCTGACTGTGGCATTCCTCATCTTGGCTTTATCCCTCTAGACTGGAAATCTTGATTATGACACTTGAGGTGCTCAGTTTTCCGGATCATCTGCGCTGCGTCTTGTTTGCGACCATCGCTGTGTGGATCACGTTTGAAATATGTTTGAATCATTGAGTTCAAGTTCTAACTCGCTGCAACTGTTCTTGATTTTTCGGGCACTGGGAGATTGTGCATTTGCAAGCTGGCCAAGCATCCAAATCTGGCATGGGCACTTAGTCCCTGATTTGCTCATGTTTGACTCTGTTGCTCGGTTTGCTGCCGCGCCCACTCAAAGATCTCGCAGATCCCCTTGCTCACACAGACAAACACAACCAACAGCGCAAACACAAACACACGCCCACACACCCCCACACGCACACGCGCACGCGTCCCCACACACCTACACACCCACACACCCACACCCACACACCCACGCACCCACGCACCCACCCACCCGCACACCCACACACCCACACACCTGCACACCCGCACACTCCCACACGCGCATGCACACGAACACGCGCACACGCACGCCCACGCTCACGTGCACGCACACACAGACACACACACACACACACACACACAAACACAAACACACAAACACACAAACACACAAACACACAAACACACAAACACAAACACACAAACACAAACACAAACACAAACACAAACACAAACACAAACACAAACACAAACACAAACACAAACACAAACACAAACACAAACACAAACACAAACACAAACACAAACACAAACACAAACACAAACACAAACACAAACACAAACACAAACACAAACACAAACACAAACACAACCACAAACACAAACACAAACACAAACACAAACACAAACACAAACACAAACACAAACACAAACACAAACACAAACACAAACACAAACACAAACACAAACACCAACACAAACACAAACACAAACACAAACACAAACACAAACACAAACACAAACACAAACACAAACACAAACACAAACACAAACACAAACACAAACACAAACACAAACACAAACACAAACACAAAGACAAACACAAACACAAACACAAACACAAACACAAACACAAACACAAACACAAACACAAACACAAACACAAACACAAACACAAACACAAACACAAACACAAACACAAACACAACACAACACAACAAACACAAACACAAACACAAACACAAACACAACACAAACACACACAGACCCACACAGAGACACAGAGACAGAGAGACAGAGGCAGACAGAGACAGACACACACACACACACACACACACACACAGACACACACAGACACACACAGACAGACACACAGACACACACAGACACACACAGAGAGACACACAGAGAGACACACAGAGAGACACACAGAGAGACACACACAGAGACACACACAGAGACACACACAGAGACACACAGACACACACACACACACACACACACAGACAACCACACACACAGACACACACAGACACAGACACACACACAGAGAGACACAGAGACACACAGAGACACACAGAGACACACAGAGACACACAGAGACACACAGAGACACACGGAGACACACCGAGACACACAGAGACACACAGAGACACACAGAGACACACAGAGACACATAGAGGCACACAGAGACACACAGAGACACACAGAGACACACAGAGACACACAGAGACACACAGAGACACACAGAGACACACAGAGACACACAGAGACACATAGAGACACACAGAGACACACAGAGACACACAGAGACACACAGAGACACACAGAGACACAAAGAGACACACAGAGACACACAGAGACACACAGAGACACACAGAGACACACAGAGACACACAGAGACACACAGAGACACACAGAGACACACAGAGACACACAGAGACACACAGAGACACACAGAGACACACAGAGAGACACACAGAGAGACACACAGAGAGACACACAGAGAGACACACAGAGAGACACACAGAGAGACACACAGAGACACACAGAGACACACAGAGACACACAGAGACACACAGAGACACACAGAGACACACAGAGACACGGAGACACCGAGACACCGAGACACCGAGACACCGAGACACCGAGACACGGAGACACGGAGACACGGAGACACAGAGACACAGAGACACACACACAGAGACAGAGACAGAGACAGAGACAGAGACAGAGACAGAGACAGAGACAGAGACAGACAGACAGACGCGCTCGCTCGCACTGGCTTGGGCCACCATTGAAGGTGGGGAGGAGATACATGCTTTTCTTGAACCAGGAGCAAGCAAGAGTGAGGGAGAGAGATGCAGACCAGTCTTCCTCTTGTCTATGGTTGGGCTGGGTGCTAGCTCTTCGTGTACCTGTATTCACTTCTGCCTGGGCGCGTCTGACACATACGATTGGAAAGGCCGTAGACATGGGCTATGTGACCGACGATCTGCCGAAGCTTCGTGCGACCCTTGTCTCGGCTTTCCAGCAGGTGGGTCTCTGCAGCAGTCTTCACTGCCGGCCTGGACTCCTCAGTGACAACAACGCCGTATTCTTTATGCATCCGGAGTGGCATCGTGTTTTGCCCGCCGTGTCACAGTGCGGAGAGGCTCGCACTTGTGACGACAGAAAACACACGTGCTGTCACAGGCAGACGTGGTCATTTCTTCTGGCGGGGTCAGCCGTGGGAGCAAGGACTTCATCAAAGAGCTGCTGTCGGAGGTGGGTGAGGTCCACTTCGGCGAGATGTGCATGAAGCCTGGTGCCATGGCTAGGAAGAATTTGCCAGAGCGCCAAGGGCTCCAGCTGCGCAAGACCGAGGCAAGCCCAGTACCTTTGCCACAGTGGCTGGCCATGGAGCCCAGAGGAAACTTTTCTTCGGATTACCAGGCAGGCGGAGGGCAGCCACCTTCCACGGTAGTGCGCCACCAGGTAGTTGCATGGGCTTGTGTCCTTAAGTCTTACGCATGCTTGCAGTGGCTGCGGCATCGGGATGCAAACCACCAAAGATTGCTGTCCCGACGGTACTGGTAGTACGGCGTCCATCACCCATTGCGAAGGTAACCCTGTCAGCTGCTTCGTGACATTCAAGCTCCTCGCTGCTCCAGCTTCTGGGACTGAACTGGCATGCTGGTTCAGTTAATCAGTGCATGGTTGTGGGTCACAGTACGGCAGAATTGCAGCGATAGCTCTAGTCACTCACA